AGCTACACTACTGCCAGCTGTGCACTATGCTATAAACTGAAGCGTGACACTTAGCAACAATCAGGTTTAAAAGTGGTTCTATAAGGAAATGGGGCTGAAAAGTAAGTAAGTAAGTAAGTAAGTAAGTAAGTAAGTAAGGTAAAGCTATCCCTGCAACAGGCCGTGGAGGTCCATAGGGTTGTGAGATGTTGAGGTTCCCACATTTTCTGGACAGTCAGCTCACAGATGGCGGCAAGGTTGTCAGCTCTACGCGCCGGCCGCCCTTTACCCCCAAGAATATTCCAAGAATATTCCTGGTACTCATTTCTCTTAGAGGCTGAGTCGACCCCAGGGCCATAGTGCGGTTCGAAGGATTAGGTCAATTGAAATAAAACCCAATGACCTCATCAGAACTTGAACCCGTGACCTTCCAGCTTGTAGCATAGTGCCTCAACCAATTACGCTACAAGGAAATGGGACTAGTCACTATTAATCAAGATTGGTCCCGTTGCACAGCTAATTCTGGTTGTGATAGACAACTACTGTTTTAAAACCTGATTAGTGTTGGAGCAACAGCAACAAAACTAATGGGTCCCATTTAATTTACTGACCGCTTGATACCAGTACATATATTTCTCAAATTCGGGCAGCTAAATTATGTTTTAAAAGATAATTTTATTGTAAAATTTATCATCATTTTCATCAAGAGGACCAGCTGGTGTTTGACGGCTACTGAAACAGCAACTTCCTTTCTTTTCAGAAATATTCCTACTTCTCACTTTTCATTTTAGATGGGATAGATGTGGGAAGAAATCTTATCACACTCAGACTCACAGTGCATTCTTGAACATTCTGTATGAAGCGTTGAATATGTTTTACATCGAAGTATTTATAACTTTAAAGAATTATTTCAATTTAACTTTCAAATGTGGAACAATTTTATTATCATTGGCATACAATAAACAATCCTCTAACACACTCAATATCTTGGAAGCAAGTAGAGAAAAACAAAACCAGGTAACCAAAATCTGAGATCCTATACTACAGCATACTATATGCACTGGCATAAGGGCCTCTGTACAGAAATAAAATAGTTAGCCACCTTCAGGTCAAATATAGGTTTGTCAAATATTATTTAAATCTTGTGCTTTCTTTTTAATCATGTAAGATTTGTAGCACTAAGAAGCTATCTCACAGGCTTTGTCAAATATTATTTAAATCTTGTGCTTTCTTTTTAATCATGTAAGATTTGTAGCACTAAGAAGCTATCTCACAGGCTTTGTCAAATATTATTTAAATCTTGTGCTTTCTTTTTAATCATGTAAGATTTGTAGCACTAAGAAGCTATCTCACAGGCTTTGTCAAATATTATTTAAATCTTGTGCTTTCTTTTTAATCATGTAAGATTTGTAGCACTAAGAAGCTATCTCACAGGCTATGACTACATAATTTAAACATGACTGCTATAAGACACATACAATGACTGTCAAGTTAACTCAACCTGAAAGATATAAAATGGTTAGAAAAACCATTCCTGTAACTTGCAACAGTCTACAACAACAGAAAATTCATGTAGTGTTGGTGCCATTGAAGGATCTGCTTTGCAAGTGTAGAAACTGGGGAAATGTGGGGGATGATACATGGAAGTAACAGCCTTGGTGCTGCCTCAAGAATGAATGGATGTGGTATAATATACCATCTGCAGACATTTATTGCAGGAGTCAGCGTCAGAAGGCACTGTCAATATTTTCATATAGTATGTAATTATCAAAACCATGTCTTATACAATAAAGTAGTGTAGTGTAGTTACTGGGTTGCAGCGAAAAATATACAACACATTGTAGAAAATATAGTTTTTTTGATAAATGTGTGCACTAGAAATGGGAAACAGTTTGCTGTAAAATCATGCATTGCTTTTTGCAAACTCTGAATGTCTTTTCCCAAAATGAACAAAACAATTCATTTGGCAGAACAAAAGATAACAGGCTACAGAAAAGTGTGCTAAATAAGTTTTCTATGAAGCAAGCAACAAAGGGACTATTTCCACATCCTAGGTTTTTACCTGTATGGATATATGGAAAATAAAGGGAATGAATGAATGAATAAAAAGATCTGTGGATTAAACAGGCGTGGGTATGGCAGCAAAGAAAATAAGAAAAGAAAATAAAGTAACGAATAAAGAATGCCCAGATAACCTGCTGTCTTTGCATGGAAAGATAGAGAGCAACTTGACCTCAATATAGCTGTCTGTCGGTAATTCTAAAATATGTGATAAGGAACACAATCAACAATATTTACATCTATAAAAAAGTACTGGACAGTGTCTAAACAACATCCGATCACTAAATCAAAAATAAATGTCCCTTGGTGTTACAAATCTTTTGATAGACTTATAACAAAAATGGGATTCTAACAGAAGAAATGTCAGTCAAAATGAAAAGTTGTGACTGAAAGAACTGATATAGTTAGTCAGACTAGGGGGTGTGTTAGTCATGCATATGAAGGGTACTACTTTCTGGGATTTGACACTGTATAGTTTGGCAAAAGTTTAGTGATGTTTCAAATTCTGCTTGCCATCTGTTTCTTACTTGGCTTATTCTTCGACCCTGAAGACAGAGGCAGCACATTCCTCTGAAACGTTCGTAAACTTCTACCAGACTACATGGTGTCATATCCCAAAAGACAATATTCTTCTGGTGAAAATACATTTTCATCCATAATTGTCATGAAATTATGTCTGTTGACAAAAGCTGCGCTTATGGAATCCTGACTGTTATGAAATGATGGCAAAGCAATAATGAATTTGGAGCGTATGAAATTCAAACTCACAAAGAAGGCTTTTAATTCTGCATTCTGGAATTGTAAATTAGTTCATCCCCGAGGCACAGCTTCCTTACAAAGGTGACCCTACACACAGAGATTACAATGAAAAGACAAACTACAACTACAAGGGAGGTTAAGGTAAAGCTATTCCTGTAACAGGCCATGAAGGCCCATAGGGTCGTGAGACATTGAGACTCCCAAATCTTCTAGACAATTGGCTCACAGATGGTGGTGAGGTTGTCAGCCTTATGTGCTGGCCACCCTTTACTCCCCTGGAAGATTCTTGGTACTCAATTCTGTTATAGGCTGAGTCGACCCCAAGGCCATAGTGCAGCTGGAAGGGTTAGGTCAATTGAAAAATTCAATGACCTCATTTGGATATGAACCCACGATCTTCTGGCTTGTAGCATGATGCCTCAACAAACTATGCTACCATGTGCCCCAAACTACATGACTTCATTTTTTGGGGAGGACAGTAAATGTTTTTGCTGTTCCTAGCAGCATGCACTTCACTCCTCACCTGCACAGGCATGTTATCACTGCCCACTGTGTCTGGGCCACATTCCTTATACAGTTGCAAAGCTGAGTCCTACACAGCATGGGGAACATTTCTAATGTGGTAAATTGCTTAATACTTCTGTTCTCAATATAAGTAGTGACACACCATTATCAAAATGTGTCAGAACTTAAATTATGGTACCCTTGCAATTTACACATCTTGAAAGCCAGACACTGAAATTCACTATTCTTACACATACTAAATGCAATTTCTTAGTTATATCATACTTGATGCTTTCACAGAATTGAGCAATATACATTCAAGGTAAAATAACCTCCAATACAACTACAGCTTGTTAATTATACTGGAAACAAGATATTTTGCTGGTTTGCTGGTATTAATATTAGTTAATATTCCAATGGCAACATACAAATTCCCAAAATGTAACATTCACAGTAGGCCTGCATTGTGTGAAATATTATAGAAAAGGAAANTAAAAAAAAAAAAAAAAAAAAAAAAATACAGATATAATGACAATCTAATGAAGGTTAGCTCATACATAATAATTTCACAGATGCTTGGAATAAGGCAGTTCATCAACAATCATCACTATAAAAGATATATAACAGCATAAGAAATTATACTATACACTACTTAAATGCATGCAGGTGAAAACGGTACAGAAACATGAATTCACATATCTAAAGGAACACAAAAGGAAATAAACTCTCAAAAGTGAGTGTTTGACACATCAGTGCTTAATTTACACATTCCATAATAGCATATAAAACAGAAAGACATTTTCATAAATGTATTACACTTTAAACAGCACCCCATCTTCTATTATTCTACATATATTGCATGTGCACTATAATAGAACAGATCACAATGGAAAGAAAAAATATATTAACAATGTAATATGATTATTAATACTATTGGGGAAGAAACTGTACTTTTCACTGAATCAATTACAGACAGACTTTTGCATGCAAAATGTACAACATTACATGTTTTTAGGTTAAGGCATGTTTTCCTACTTCACTACATCTAAATCTGTCATTACTTTCCTTGTAATTGTGCATGTCTAATCATCATACACCAAACTAGTTAAAATTTAAACTGATGTAATCAAGATCCGATTTCATCATTAGACTTGCTCATCAGACTAAACCTTGAGATATGTCTTGTATTCAAGTACGCAGATTGTAAAACTGGTGTTCTCACTGAAATTCAGTCCACAATTAAAAACAAAAGCACTTTCTGGTCCAATAAATAATACTATGTGTGAAAACCAGCTATGTCAAATAGTATAAGGCAACTGCCTATGGTTAATGAAACTACATGCAATGATTATAAAGTGTTTCCATGGTTTTTATAATATAAAAATCAGATTTCTGATTAATATTATGTATGACAAGAATGAATGAATGCATATAGGATACTAGTGGGAAAGTCATAAGGAAAGAGACCATTGAGAAGACCAAGGCATAGATGGGTGAACAATATTAAAATGTATCTTAGAGAGATAGGATGGAATGGTATGGATTAGATTGATCTGGCTCAGGATAGGGACCAGTGGAGGGCTCTTGTGAACACGGTAATGAACTTTCGGGTTCCATAAAATGTTGGGAAATTCTTGAGTAACTGCAGATTTGGCTTCTACTCAAGAAGGGCTCAGCTCCACGTAAGTAAGTAAGTAAGTAATGACAAGAAGAATATGAATGGATTTAATACAGTACCAACTCCCTACAGTTAATTTCCACAGAGACATACATTATAAATCTCAGTTGAAAGATTACAATCACAGGCCCTCTATCACTGCAGTATACTGACAGTATCTGCAGCCATGCACTGAGCTGCACCATGTGGAAACTGTCAAAAAATGTTCTCATTCAGCAATGGAAGTATCACAAGTGTTTCTTCCATTAAAAATTATGTTTTGTGGTGATAAATCTCAAACATATAAAAAATCAAATAAAAAACTTCACATGCTTATTTTATTATCAGTCAAATGAAGTCTGGTTCAATTAGTGTCAGACTGAATAAAGTGAAAAACAATTGTCTTGAAGAACTGGAATCTGCGATTTGTGTTGAACAGTTACACCCTCTAACTGTAAAACAATAACTTTTTCTTCTGTACCCACTCATTACAACCATCTACAACAGACGGGAGCTACATGTCAAATTCCAGCATGAACAATCAAATTCCATGGTTCTGATGCATACATAATAATGGTCAATTGCATTCTGAATCAAAACTAATCAAAACTGGAGTTTCCTTTGGTTAAGATTAATGCCATGTTATGTTTCATAACCCATCAGATATGATTTATGTTTAATTTTCCAGTGGAAGATTAGATCCAATATTACTGTTTCTTATATTTGGGTCTGAGCCTTATAACTCCACGGATTTTGCGCATATGGAATTTAGCACTTATATCTGACATAAAGTCACAAACTTGAGAAGTTAAATTAGATGGGATATGCATTCTAACAGCAGTGGTTATGAACAGTATAATGCCTTGAAGTCCACTGAAGATCAATCGATGTTCCTCCAAAGCATCTGCTGACGTTCAATGGATTACATGGTGTTATATCCCAGAAGACAGAAGTCTTCAGTAAAATTGGAACTTCATATGAGTCTACAGCCTGAACTCAAAACATTCAATATATGTGCATATAATCTTTTCCACTTGACTCTTAAGTCATGAATGCAAGACCAGCTTTATGAGTGCAGTGTACATGTGCTGTGTACACCCACTTGTGTGTGTGTGTGACAGAGAGAGAGAGAGAGTTATAGCTTTTAAGTGGTTTCTTGCTCAGTTATTCCAGGGGCCTGTCACTGCTTAACATTCTCTCCAATATTGCTATATAGCACCACCTAGGTCCACTTTTGCTAACCAAATACTATAGGAACTTCCAGATATGCAAACATAAGTAATATCCTCTTCAATGGGGAGACTTCAACAGTTAGGTACAATAAAGGAGCTCTTGTAAACATTATTTCTGGGGGATGGCACTTACTTCTATACGGTGCCATTATCCACAAACAGAATCCACAATTATCAATGAACCATGATGAAAAAAGGCTCTAATCACAAAAGTCTCAGTGTCGTGTGATATGTATGCCAACTTCCTAGATTTCACACATGGACAATATGTGTATCAAAATATACTATTTTTTTTTCCACTTAACCATACCTAAAACACTTTCAACTGGCATGTCTGAAATGAACAACAAAATTATATTTGCATGCATTCTTGCATGAAGTAGATAAGCACATGGGGAAAACCTCTCTGCCTATCTGAACATCTTCAAAGTAAGTAGATAGATTTGAATGAATCTGGTATTTTGGGTCCATACTAAAAACTGTCAAGAAATTTTAATTTTGTAGCAAATTAGTTAATTTTACTTTCTACTTTATATTATTGCCAAACTGAACTCAACCAGACTACTCAAAAATAACTCAATACATATATTAGTAGAACAAAGACAAATTTCTAATTATCCTTTCCTCAGAATGTTGAATATTTAAGGAAATACTCGTAAACAGCATAAAGGCATTTTGATTGTTGAAGTAAAGCCAAAAAAGACATTAAATATGAGGTTCCAGGGCATAATAAACGTAGAAAGAAAATAATGACAGCAATCATAATAAAGATGGTGGTGGTGGTGGTGGTGGTGGTGGTGGCAGTAGCAGAAGTAGTAGTAAATATTAATAAAAATATTTGTTGTTACAGTTAATCATAGTATTACAGGAATTAAATCCCAGTATGTGAATAAACATAACATATGCCTTTATCACTGAACCAAGGTTCAATACAGCTAACACTAAAGCCTACCAATGGGCATGGTCCTCAGCCAGTTGTATCAACCTTCCATCCACAAGGTCATTGCAAAGGGTATGTTCATTCTAAGTTCCATGAATGAGTTTCATAACATGTAACATTTTATGATGAAGAGACAGTAATTCTCTAAACTCCTAATACAGAAAATGGCTACTCCTGTAATGTATTTGTAGCTACTCTCCACATCTAAAGGCTCTCCCTTCAATTTGTAGAGCAGGACACACCATAATCATTTTAATTGTATCCTAATTCCAAAATCCAATTTTCTTTCAATTTTCAATGTATAGTGACTGAAATAAGCCTGAAAGACTGTGATTCAGGTTCAGTATTGATGTAATATCTTCACTGCAGTCCACATCCACCCTTACTAGTTATAGTACCACAAAACAAGAACATATAATATCTTTTATTTTAGCCAGTCTAGAAAAATCTAACTTTTTGTTCTTTTTCACATATCTGTGCCAGTCTTCTCTTTCTATGCATCTATTTTCATACTATCTGAAAAATTCTCTATATACTTCCTACTATTTCCAATTCTGAAGTAAAACAAAAAAATGTGGAGGGAAAAGTGGCAAAATTACCCAATAAACATTCATCTACAATACTGCAAGTGTTTTCTGCTAACTAAAGCTCTGAGTGAATGGAAGCACATACAGAAGAGCACAATCATTCATTACAAATCTAACACTACCCTAATGCTAAGAAAAATAGAACATTTTCCAGAAGGCAATGAAATTACACAATAAAGTAAATCTTGTGAACAGAGTAGGAAAACTTTGCCATATCTCAGCGTCATCTTGGTTGGCCATGCAGACATCTGATTTTGGTCATGCTGTTGGAAATACTGTTCACAATATTCATTAAAATCCCTACCTACTTTCTGCTCAAACATGCAGTTGTCTACATTTATGTATCTTTAAAGATGACGAGATTCAACAACAAAACAAGAAAAAGAATGAAAAGATATATTTATTACTGCGCAGTTTCAATTCAATAGAATAATTACATTTTAAAATGTTGTGACAGAAGAGATTATTAAAGCAGGTCTTCAGGGGTTTGTATTCATTGTCTATTCTTGCAAAACTGTAAATGATCAACTCACATAAGAGTCTATTGCAATATGAATTTCTCCAAGGTAAAAACACGTATCTTCAAGGTTTCTGTGTGTGTGGTGTACATAATGCTATAGCACAATACAGCTTTGGAACTGAGGTTGTTGATGAGAACGTTATAATTTTCCACATGGCAGTCCTACAGGAGAACTGCTGATCACTGCCAAGATTTTCATTTCAGAGCAGAGTCCAATATTTAACAACACAGCTTTTGCTGTAACAAGCCACTTATCTGCAGATACATGATGTACATGACACCACAGGAAGCTTTTATTTTTTGCAGGAAACCTCAAACTTGATGTCCCTCAAACACAAAACAAGAACAAATATAGATTCTAACAAATATTTTAACTAATACTCAGAATGTATAAGACACTTGATGAGGGGAAAACAAACAAAGACAAAATATATATTATCAGGGCAGAAATCATGAATTAAAGTTCTTATGTGTAAACAGAAATGTTGGTAGTTTTCTGGATTTTTATATTGCATGGTAATTACAAATACTGATGCTTCAAGCTTTTCAATAGCCCTACTTTTGTCAATTCATTATCATCACCACCTTCTTCAAGGTAGGCTTTTATTGGCCTGTTCTCTCTCTTCTGCCATTACAATGTGTTAAAAGAAGAAACTTTTATCTCTGCATTTAAAAACACAAGACCAAACTCTGTGACAGAGTGGTAAGCATTCTGGCTTCATATTTTGGAGGTCCTGGATTCAAATCTCACCTCAGAGATCAATTATCCTGAGATCTTTCATTGTATTTTTCAGCCCCACCTGGCAAATATCAGGTTGCTACAATCTGAGGTTCTCACGGAAGTGACTATGAAGAATACCATTTTCTGGGATGTGACACCATGTAGTCTGGTGTTTATCAAGGGGGTATCTAAAAATAAAGATAATAAATTCCTCCAAAGTGTTGGAACACACATACCAGACTACACAGCATCATATCGCAGAAGGCAGCGACCTTCAATGCCCACAAAATGCTTTAAAATAATCCATGACCACGTAATTCCACATTTTTTCCAACTCATTATTCACAAATCATCCTATCATTTGTCACTACATAACCTTACAATTGAACAGTGTTGTTTAATAAATCACGAGAAATTTAAAGTATCTACTAATCCTTCATACAGGTTTATCCATCTCTTACACAAGTGGAAATGGACAGTTTTATCCAGTTTGCCCTATGCTGCTCACAAAATACATTTATTCCTTCCCCTTCCATAATTCTATCATATCTAATATTGTATTGTTTACCAAATTATCCTGAATTAAATACCACATGCTGTTTCTTAGTTATTCAGTAATTTCACTGCTCCTTTCGCTCTCCGATGGTAAATGCTCCTATGATTATTGAGCGAGTTCATGGTTCGGAACACTTTATTACACACGTTACACACGGCATTATGAAGTGGTTGGAGATGCTGTTGCTCTTTGTGTCTCTTTAGGGTGAGCCTGGTACTTAACATCTTGCCACAAACATCACAGCGGTGGACAGACTCCGCTGCTGCATCCACACGCGGGAAGCGTGATGAGGGTAGAAAGAGAAGCACCTGACCACTTGGACCTTCTTCCGCACCGAGAACAGAGAGAGACACAAAGAGCACGCATTATAGTCCATCCCTAACATAACTTCTCATGGAGATGTATGTAACTTGCCAGCCACCTATATATTATTTAAAAAAATAAAAAGGACTTTTGATTGTTTAATTGGTTGACAGATGAGTACGCTTAATTACGTTAATGACGTTATCTAACAGAACACTCAAAACGGTACAGAATGGAGAAAATTTTGGNATGAGGGGGGGGGGGGGGGGGGGGGAAGAAAGAAAGAAAGGGGGAAAAAAAGAAGGTACTGAAGAAAATGACATAATTATCTAATCATCAGCCACCGTTTGATTACAGCATTAACAATGTTGTCAGGTTTACAGGTAAACAAAACACTTCAGAAACTGTGTTATTAACTTCAAGTATTTTTTTTGTATAAATAACTGTAAGAACTGAGCTACAGATGAAATATAAACACATATAGACTCCATGAATAATGTGAAAATTAGAAAAAACAGATCTGGAAAAATCTGAGTAACAGGAACAGAGAACTGAAATTTCTCTGTAAGACTCGCATGAAAAGGAATAAAAAATCTAAAGGTGTCTGACCACTTGATATTATTACCTGACAAAAAATCTTCATTGAATATTGTACTCTATTCAAATTCTAATCTTATTATAAAACAACAGTTCAGCTGAGATAATGAAATATGTTTAAATGCAATATGAGAAATTTCTTAAAAAACCATATCATTATGTTTCCTTCATTGATGTAACTACTTTTATCAAATGCACCTGTCAATAAATCAAAAGCAAGGGACATTATGGTAAAGAGTGCCTTGGTATCTGAGAAGACATGCAAATAACTCAAAATCTTTCTCTCAATGGTAAAATGTTACAAGCATCTGAATACAATTTTGTTTGTCCTCAAATTTAATTCATTTTAATGGTCATTTCATGCATATATGAACAAATGTGGCTGAATAAAATAAACATACTATGCAACTCTTCATAAAATTGGCTGGATGTTTGTACAGTTTCATGATTTGGGACAGGGTATAAACTGTGAGTTATATTATTACAATACATCTTCACAGAGAAGTTACATGTGTTGGACCATGTCCTCTTTGTTACTGAACTACACTATTACAGATCCTAATGTTGTAAAGCTTGAATATAATCGTTCAGCATGCATTCCTATGAAAGCACATTCCCCACTCACACAGTCCTTATTCAAAGAATAATTAAAGGTAGCTTGAAAATGACATTAAGTGAGTCAACAAATAAAGTTAGCATAACTACAGACAGAATGGAAATGGTGCTGCTCTTCAATTATCACCATAAGATAGTGTAAATCTGTTGCTTGAACAGGTAGCTGCAGCAACAACGAAATGACAACACCCAGTCTCTTATAAAAACTAAGATGGTTATAATAAATTCAATGTAACTGAATTCTGACTCCATTATGCTCCTACCTAAGTGACACTTTCATTCCTAGAATATGCTGTATAACAAAGAAATGTATAAATTGAAGACAATTCCTCATATACTTTGTGTCAAAAATGGGGTTACATTCCTACATACGTAGTCTTAAGCGGTCAACTTTGGCAACAGTTACCAGTTTTGGTCATCTGAAAGTGAAATAACACTGTAATAGCACAGAACTGTAATTTAAACAAGTTCACATTTCAAAATGTGAGCCTGGCACTCAGCAAAAACACTCAATGCTGACTCAACATGTGTATGTCACAAAGGTTTGTCAAAGTTATCTAGAGATGGGGGAGGGAGATAGGCTCATCATTAAAGGATTTCTTTAAGTCTTGACCAACAGCTGTTACTTCTAAAGATGACAGAAATGAACTATGTTCTTGCTGAATTTGAGATTCTCATGACAGTGACTGTGAGGAGTGCAGTCTTCTGGGTTGTAACATAGCTAGCTTGAAGACAGACATTTCAGAGGAACATGGTGATACCATCTTCAGTATTGAAAATTCAGCCAAGCAAGAAACTGACATAAGCAGGTAGCAAGCTTCTTGGTGATACAATTCTCCAAGTGGTTTGAATCATACACACTGCCCTTTCAGAGCATCCATACTCCTAGTCTTCCTTGACTGTTTCTGCAATAGTTTATTTTTTCACCCTCTGTGGTTTTTTCCACTGCCTCCTGCCTCTGTCATCTTCACCCACCCTCTTCCCTTGACAGACAAAAACCTTGTCTCCATTTCTATCTTCACTCAGCAGGCAGACAGCCCTTTTCCCAGACTAATCCAGGTACCCTTTCCTTGTTCCCAGTGACTCTATAATGGTCACTCTTCCATTGGCTCTCTCAGTTCCTTTCAGGCATGGACTGGCCTATATCATGTCATCTCTCCCATGCAGTTAACTCAGCTTACCACCTCCTTCTGCTGTATTCTGGCTTGGCTCATTTTTTTTATTGCTAGTGGGGTGGGACTAAGTCCCTTGTACTGTGGCCAAATCTGGCCCCAGATGATAGGTGAGGGGTGATTGTGGAGCAATTGGTGGAATGAAGATTGGCAGGGGAAACCGAAGTACTCGGAGAAAACCTGCCCCAGCACCACTTTGTCCACAACAAATCCCACTTGACCAGGCCCGGGACTGAACCTAGGTCACCGCGGTGGGAAGCCAGCAACTAACCGCTTGAGCTTTGGCGCAGCCTTCTGGCTTGGCTTACGCTTCAACCCAGACAATGAAGGCAGTATGTTCCTCTAGAACACTGGGCTCTCTCTGAACTACAATCCAGAAGATTGCACTATTTTTGTTCCTGAAACTTGGCTACTTGCACTGTATTTTTCTTTTGCCCCTTTCAAGAAATGAACCAGAGAAATACGGTGGAAGCAGCTAAATTACAAGGACACAATTCAGTTCCCTCATTGTCAGAAATTTCATATAGACATTCCAGAGGTGCTGGGCGAAGTACCTGTGCATGCAATATCACACCTGTGAACGCATATACATACACTAACACATACAAACCTATGACTGTGCAAATTGAAGCTGCACATGAGTAAAGTGGGTGTATTTGTTCCAACCGGTCCAACAATTACATGTCAAACCCTCAATCAAGGTATAAAACACTTAATATATGACTCTACTCAATGAAAGTTACTGCATGAAACATAAATATCATTGTCAACAGCATCTTCCATGTAAAATCAGACAAATAATTAATATCAGATACCATCTAATAAGCAGGGCCCAGATTTTGATGACCTGAAAATATTTAAAAAATGACCTATAAAATGACCGAAGAAATCCAGAAAAATGACCTAAAATATGACCCAAAAATGTAATATGCACGGCCCGGATTTCGATGACCTGAAAATATTAAAAAAATGACCAAAAAAATCCAGAAAAATGATCAAAAAGAGAAAAGAAAGAACACTTCGCTTCCATGTTATTCACATTTCAGAAAACATATGAAGAAAAATTCCCTAAAATGGCCAAAAATGACAAGATATACCATTAAAAGTGCAAAAATTTACCAAAAAACTACCCCAAAAATGAAAAAATTACCCTAAACCTAAAAATGTCAAAAAATGATAAAAAAAAATGCCTATAAAATTTACATTTCTGTAACCAGCAGCTCATATACGAGATTTATATATTTAAGAGCATCGCATAAGACACAAGGAAAAAAAGATGACATGTCATCAAAATCCGGGCCCTGCTAATAAGCAATGCTACATGACTGGGCAAAGCATAGGAATGATGTCATTAAAAGATCCATAGTTTTGTGTTTATGAAAGGTTAAAAAGAGGAAAAAATATGGTCCTTATACTGAAATCAATTAGTGATCACAAGGCATACATTACATTTTACTACTGAGTCTCAGTGAGGGGATGTCATCAGTGTTCAAATCTCTTTCTTGTGCCATTCTAGCATTAGTTAAATATGTCAGCATCAGTGATAATTACAGTACATGGATCATATCAAGTAATGTACTGCTGTCTGTAATACGAAGAGACATGTACATCAAAAACAAAGAGTTCTATCTTCTGCGGTATAACACCCTGTAGTCTGGTGAAACTGTGATATATCCCAGAAGGTGGAACGCTTTGTAACCACTGCTGTGAGAACCTCAAAACTGACACCAAAAACAAAGTTAACCAGCTCATAATTATGTATAAGAAAAGCTACTATGACCAAGTGCTGAAATGTTTGATGAAACATGAGGCTCACAACTGAAGGCAAACTACAGAAAGAAACATTACTGAATTTTGGGGTGATCTGGGTTGTGAAGAAAAAAAAATTCTATGTCAACTGAAAACAACTACATATTCAGGCATAAAACAAAAAACATCTAATCACACTGTATCAATAATAATAGCTGAAATGATGTGTTTTAAAGGCTAGATTGGGTAAGCCTCATCTGGGATGTGTTGAAGGATGAATTACATTCACTGTTGCAGATTTTGAAATAACGAGTGACAGTTCCAACATACTCTGAAGTATGGTTAATAACAACAAATTTCATTCACTGGGTCCATATTCATTGCATCCTAACTGCCTGTAAATCATCACAGTTTAAAATCTAATTTAGATTAAAAATATGGAATAATAATTGTGAGTACTTAATAGGTACATTACACATAATACATTCAGGTTAAATAATGTGAGATAAAGGTTTAAAGGATGTTCAGTGAAAACCCACATACATAAAACTCACAAATTTTATATTTCAATAGGCAAAGAAGAAAAATTACAGATTAGGTAGATCACAGTATATTTCAAACATAAATCTGTTTACAGATCATGATCATGACTAATTAAAATATATCTCAGTTCAAGAAGTTGAATCTTAACCTCAGACTTACAATACCTCAGGAGCAATTTTACAAATTACTGTAAATTAGGAAAAAAATCTGAAAAATCTTCCCTTTACAGCACTGTAGTTACAGCAGGTACTACCTGATTGAACATTAAAAGACTCTGCACTTTGTTAATTTGGTGTAATTTTGTGTGCTTCATGTGGTTCTCAAAATAAAGTCATTATTTGTCCAA